CCAGAGTGTTGTTCAGCATGGGGGTGTGTAGAAAATGAAGGCTAATCATGTTTTGGGTGTACTATTCCTTTAAGCTTGGCTTATACCCCTCTCATCGCAGTGAAAACAGAGCGCGCCAAAAATTAAGCAGTCATGCCTTCCCTTACCCCAAACTAAAACCACAAGCGCCAGCCTCGTTCCAAATAGAGGGGGAGAGGGGGGATATGAAGTTGAAGGAACTTCATATCCCATGAATGAACATGTTTGCCTGAACAGAGCTGAAATGGTGCAGAAGGTTCCAGAGGAACGGTGCGGTTAGATGCAGAGTAGTTGCTGTTCAGTCAGTGAGTTTGTGGTAAAAACAAGGATTTCTGTTTCCATCACATTCAACATAAAGTCTGAAGCAACTACCCACAGTATACAATGCATTCAGCTTTTATTTAGAAGAACAATGTTTTAATATATGTTAGATAAAAAAAAAAAAGAAAGGTCCACATCGTCAAGTCTCTCTGCGGATAAATCTATCATTTTTTTCCAACCACCATAAATGCACCAATTATTCTTTAGTAATCACTAATTCTTAAATAAACAATAATGTGGTCGGCCATTTTGGAAGTGTGACATTAACTTTCTTGTCTTTTTTAGGAAAAAGAATAGAAAAGGTGAGTCAGTCTTTAAAGAAGTATCTGCAGCGTCTAATGTCTAATGCTACGTTCACACCAAAAGCAGCAAGAGCAGCAAAAACGCGCATGCTGCTTCATTTTTGATGATGTACAAGTTTAGTTCTGACACGCAGCTAGAGCAGCAAAGCTGCTTCAGCTGTGCGGTGGAAAAAGTGGTTCTGATGCGCGTTGGGCAGACCTACCCAATCCTGCAAAGGATTGGGTAGGTCTTTGGCAGTTAAATATACTGTGATCAGTGGGAATAAAGTAGTTTTAATGTTTTTAGGTGAGAAAGTCCTCCTGAAAACATGGTCTGTGCAGTCAGTTCATCCAGATTACCATCCTGCCTTCAAAGATTATTTTGCTGTCGGAGCCGCTCAGACCCCCACATACCGGCGCTGCGCTGTCAGTAGGAATCCCATTCAACAGCAGCCTCTGGCCGGGTCGCCTCCTCGTGGTTAGCTGCAGCGGCTGGAAAGCGGTTCTCATGGACGTAATCCAAACTGCAGGCAGCAGGATAATAAAAGCCAACATATTCTGCCGGCAGGTTTCTACATTTGAAGTTAATTTAGGCGTTAATAAACTGTTTCAGAGGAGTGATCATAGCGCTCTGCATCAGCAGTGCTGTGTCTGACTCCCTGCCAGCTTCTCTGATTGGTTGATGCGGCGCGTCCAGCAGCTTAAGTTACATTTTTCCATCCCGAGCAGCAGCTGCGTTCGCGGTGCGCCACGCGCATCAGATGCTCAAGCGCTCCCGACGCGCTGCTTCAGCTGCTCAGACGCGCTACACCTGCTGCTCAAAACGCCCTGCAGGACGGTTTGCTGCGCCTGGACGCGCGTCAAACATTGACTTTGTATGTAAACTAGCTGCTCCTGCTGCCTTTGCTGCTTTTGGTGTGAACGTAGCATAAAGTCTATAAAGGAGTTTTTGATGATTTAGTTAAAGGAATGATAAATGTGTTGTTGGTGTTTACCTGGAAGATGATGACGAAGGCGAGGCGGATAGCTAGAATGCACCAGAACTCCTTGGAGAGGGAATATGCAGTGTCAGACCAGGGAGGATCTCTATAGTCCTTATACCTGCATGGAGGAAAACATTCACATTCATGACTTAGACAACTTTTATTCTCATTTTGAATACACAGAATGTATTAAAAAAAATTTCCTTTGGTAAAGCTTTCATGAGATTTCAATTCCATAAAGTGCAGTAGTGATCAAATGTAAACAATGTGGGAGAAAAAACATGGTGGAAAAAATGTTTTGATATGGAAGTTCAGAGCATCACACTGATAACACCAAAATACGCAGTTTTTTCGGTCAGCATCTTGATTCACATGTCCCAGCTAATATACGCAACGGTTGAAATCAGAATCATTGCAGAGAAGTGGTGACTGTTACAGGTTGTAGAGCGAATGTCCATGTCCTAGTCCGTTCCTGAGAAGAACCCAGGACAGTCTGGACTCTGGGAGAACAGGAGCACGTAGAATAAATCTGGATCAATTGGAACAGAAGCGTACTGATGACATCACCACATTCAAAGCTCATCTGGATGATCATTTTGCCAAATAAAATGATCATACCCCCATCAGAGCCAGCGGTACTTTAAACACAGCTATGCAGAGTAAGGGCTGCTGCAGACGAGCTAACGTTAGCCCTGGCCGCTGCAGAAGGGCTAATGTTAGCCCTGGTCGCTGCAGAAGGGCTAACGTTAGCCCTGGCCGCATCAGACGGGCTAACGTTAGCCCTGGCCGCTGCAGACGGGCTAACGTTACCCTAAGAGCTTCGCTAGTTGCCGCGGTCCTCTTAACTTCGGAAAATTTTTTTTAAATTACGCATTAAATCAGTAAATGGGCCATATAGTCAAGCTTAAAGTATAATGTTCTCGCCTCAAATGATCTGAAAACATATTTTTATAGAACAACAGTAACAGAAAAGAGAACTTTTGACTTAATACTCTGAGCTCTGTGAGTGCTCCATTGAAAGGAGACGCAGGAGACTCATCCACGACCTCCCACACTAAACTCTCCTCCTCTTGCATGTTTCCGCTGTCCATAGCGTTCCTTGACAGTGTCGTTTCTAAGTCACCAATTTAGTGCTACTTGGTCCCAATGGAATTTCCTATTGGGAACCTACTAGCACTAAGATGCTAACTGGTTAGCAAGATACTTCCGACAAACCGTCCACAACCAAAGTTGCTTGTGAACCTTCCACCACAACAATCCCGCCCCCTTGATAATCGACCAATCACATTCACTTTATTCACTCTTGTAAAGTCGGGCACCACTCAGGACAAATCAGAAATGTTTTGAACAGCCGCTTCCCTACGACTTTAAGAGATTTTTAACAGTTCAGCTGTCTGATGGCGGTGGGGAAGAAGCTGTTGCAGAATCTCATTCATCTCATCACTCCTCTAAGACTTTAATGTCTTCCCAAATCCAAAGGGAAACACTTTGCTTTAGTGAATCAGCTGAATGAAACCTTACCTGCAGATTTTCACCTCGTAACCCAGGTGGTCTGGTTGCTGTGGCGCCGTACCCGGCTCAAAGTCATTGACGTTGAAATAGGACAAGGTGTGGTTGACGAAGCCGTGCATCGTCCCGTCACGACTGTACTGGTACTGGTAGACGAGCCGAGGGATGAAGTCTGAAGTGAAGGCGATGACAAAAGCCTGGAAGGGAAAAATGCTCTTTATAAACGGCAGAGGTTGATGCAAACAAACTGCAAAAACTCATTTAACCAATACCCATAGGATGGCATAGTACCCTTTCACCTACAGTTGAAGAAAGGATGGATGTAATATAAAGCCTCTATGTTATGGAGAAACTAACTGCATCAATAAGATTGGACATAGAGAAATGTAACGATGTCTGGGTCAGGGTTATGTTAGGGCATGTGAGCTGATGGGAGGTAAAGGTTATTCTGTGGAGGTACTGAGGTGGATAATTGGTGAAATAAGCAAGAAGACTAAGCAAATGTGTTCAGTTATTACTGTATTCTTTTATTTTTCATTACTTTAAATGTGCGGTCATGTCTTGGTTTGCATTGTTTCTCAGTTTAATTACAATGTTGGTCACTTTATGAGCTTGTCTATTTAACTTGAACTAAAGTTTCTCAGGTGACTGTATGTATCAGTGAAGAAGGCAATAATGAAAAAAAGGCAAAAAAAAGTAGTTTTTCTTAAAATAAGTGCATTTGTTCTGTTCTTAACTAGATTTAGATTTTTTTCCAGTGTAGAGAATCGGCCCAAACAAATCGCCTGGCTTTACAAGCTTCCTTTCTGTCCCACAGCTCCTTGTCTTACAGCTTTATTCCTGCATAAGCTTCCAAAATAAAGGTGAAGAAGACTTACGTTAACGATGACCGCTACCTTGCTGAGGCCCCTCAGGAGGTTATACCAGATACCTGTGAAAACAGAGAGCTGTCGATGAAGACTCTCAGGCTTCTGCTACATGTTAGTGGACAGTAGTGACACAACTTAACCCTCTGACTCAGTGGTGCTACCAGGGGCTGGCCAGGGCATTGCACAAGGCAGCCATGGCCCGCTGGCCAGTGTAAATTGTGACATCAGTTAAGCATTTCATCCCATTCTGCACAGCCAGTGACGTAACATCAAAAATCTATCAAAGATTACATTGCAAATACATTTACTGGCCCAGCTTTAGTCATGTACAAAAAATAAAACAATTTAAGGTCAGATGGCCACGCCTGTAGAGGTGGTTTAAACTCTGTTTTTCATAAACGGATAAACGGGTATTGACTATGGGTACTTTGGTCTGCTGGTATTAAAACACAGCAGAGCAGGGATTTGGTTAGAGTGCATTTCCTTTCATCCAACCCAGCTCATCCTAAAACTGAGTGTTTGGCTCTCATGGCATTACAGGCTGAGCGTCAGTAGATGCTGTTGAGATTAGAACAGAATTCTGAGCAGAAATGGAGGCCACTCAGCCACATATGAAAGCCATTTCAGAGAAACACAGGAGAGAAAAGCAAAACAAGCTGCTGCTGTTCTCTGCAGCCGATGGTAGGTCTGAGCTCCTGGCCTCCAGCGTTTGTTTAAAAAGTAGAACTTATCATTTTAATAAGTTGACTTTGTCCCAGTGCATGATGTGCTCCTCCTAAATAAATCCTGTCCTCCTGTCTTTCTGAGGGACAGAAAGGATACAGCTCATATCAAACTGAAGTTTGGTTGCTTTTTTGTATCCCCACCATCCTGTTTTCAGTGAACTGAGTGTTATGATGTCCTGGTACCACCAGATGGAGCTCATCAAGTCCTCAAATGAGAAGGCAGGGTCTGAAAAGTCTTCATCTGGGGGAGGTTACCGTGGGAACGGATATACATGAGGCGGAAACCTGCTATCCTCTAAAAAAATCCCCAAATTTACTTTGTAATCCTCTGACTGCGAATCTTTGATTTCTGACTTTTCTTCCTCCTGAGCAGCTCAGGCTCAACCTGTTCCTAAACAGAGACAGCAAAGCAGAAACTGTGGCAGGAAGCTGTTTGGATCCAAACATGTCTTCCACTTTATCAGCCCAGACTTTAAAAACAACAAACACGCACCGATGTCCTTGGCTTTGGCTGCAATCGGTCTGCGCAGCTCCATCACAAACTTCTTAGCATCCAGACGGATTTCAATTATGTTATTTAGAAGAGCGAAGAGCGGCGCCAGAGGGAAGGACGCCACGAAGAGAGTCACCATGCCGAACTGGATAACTGGGGAGACACGAGACAGCAGCTGAAATGCATCAGAGTGAAAAGTAGGCGAGTGAAAAAAGCAAAAAGGAGAGAAAAGAGGAAAAAGAAAGAAAAGGAATAAAGAGAGGAGAGTGAAAAACAGTGAAAAGAAAGAGTGAAAAGGAGGTAAAAGAGTGAAAGTATACTGCAGGAGACAGGCTGTTCAGATGTAGGTCAAATTTTAAACTCCACAAAAATCCGACAAATTTAATCTGTTCTAAAATAGCAAAGTATAAATTGTTTCTGAGCAGGTTTTAGTCTCCAAATTCTTTTTTTTTACGCTATTAGAAGATAAACAAATGTAGAAATATTAGGAAGTAGGAGGATTATTTTTAATAGAAGGGATTAGCACCTGGGATCGTCTGGATTATCTGCTGTTAATCCCTCAGTCTGTGGTTTCCTTTAATCCCTAACACTGATTTCCTGTGGATGAAATGTGGCTTTGAGGAAAAGTTCAGTTCTGACTTTTTTTTTTTTTTTTGGTTGTAGAAACTCAAAAAATGCTGGAGGAACCCTGAGAGGGTCTGGAGATACAGACTGTTATCATTTCCAGTGGACACACATCTACTTTATTCTTCATGACAGACAACATAATCTTACTGACTTAGACGGTCCAACTTTAAGAGATTTAATGGAAAAGAAACAACAAAGACTAGAAGTCGACTTCAGGCTTCTAGAAGAGTCATTTTAAATAGTCTGAAGCTGATTGGCTGTTGAACCAGTGACTCCGAGAGGCTCCTCCTCCTTCCCCCTGACACAGAATGTTTAAACGTCAAAATTAGGATGGATTTTAAATGATCGTACCGATCCAGACTCCTAACACAGGACGACAGAGGAAGAATGCTGCAAAAATATAAATGCGTCATTTTTTCTTAAATTAGTGCATTTGTTCTTGGATTGAGGAGGTAGTGAGAACTTTGCCAACAGAACATGAAAATTTACATTGAAAATAAGAAAAGAAATTGCATTGTCTTATTTCTAGTTTATATTATCTAATTATCTTATTTTAAGAGTAAAACACTCAATTTATTGGCGGTTCATCTTATTTAACTGCTGAGACTAATGAAGCACTTAATTTAAGACATCTTTACTTGTATCTAGATTATTTTTGCAGTGAAGAACTAGGATCAGCGTTATTATGACCTGACTAGAGTTAACTCAGGCTGAGTTTAGACCTGACTAGAGTTAACTCAGGCTGAGTTTAGACCTGACTAGAGTTAACTCGGGCTGAGTTTAGACCTGACTAGAGTTAACTCAGGCTGAGTTTAAAC